TGTCCTCACAATACAATTTGGATCTTTTTTTAATTTGAGGGTAAAATAATTTAAACACTTGCCGCCCACATGTTGACCTTTATTTTAACCTGTAGCTCTGAAAGAATTCCAGACACTTATCTCCTGGGTAGCATCACATTTTTGCTATTGTTTGTTACAGTAGTGCCTAAAGACACTGTATTATTAGAGTCAGGGCCCCAATTGTGTTAGCTACTGTATAGACATGGAACCCAGGCCCAAGGGTTTACAGTCTCTTCCTGTATTATATTACTTAAGGTGTTCATTCTAACAGTATTACCAGGACATACAACAGGATGGGGGAAAAAAGAAAAAGACCAGTTAAAAAAGGCTTGAAAAAACAAGTAGCTAAAAATTTTGTTTAAAAAGATTTGGAAAGGATAAAAGAATTTCATTTGGAAAGGATAAAAGAAAAGAGCAATTTTTCATGTATTTAAAAAAACTGTTCAGGTGCTTCTTTTGCACTCACACTATTTTAATTTGATAACACATTTGTAGACATTTAGGATTGTCACTGTGCTACATCGCATGGCCATTTGGGACTTCACGGTGATGAACTCAACACCTCCTACTGTTTAAAAAAAAAAAAAGACCCTCACCAACATAACTAAAGGAGAATCTCTATTAACTGTGTCATATTCTGCCAACAACTATGTAGTTTTTCTATTTATTAGAGGAGTTGTACACATAGATACTAGCTAGTCCATCACTATTATTTGTACTGCTGTAGTGCCTAGAGGTCCAAACCTAGTGTGCTAAAACCATATACACACAAAAATATGGTCATTGCCCCCCCAAAAAAATTTATGCTCTAAGTATAAGAAGAGAAGCAACAGTTAGATACAACAAACATGAGGGAAGAACATTTATTCTCCTCATTAGACAGAGGCTACCCTTGAATGTGTAGGGTTCAGAGGAGTTCAAATCTCAGTGCTCACACAGTGTAACAAATCTGTGGCCACTTAGGGCTTCATGATTGTTGCTATCCTGTATACCATGACCATTCCTAACTTTACAGCAGCAACAGGGACAGAAACCCTTGCTACATAAGCACAAGCCCCTACTAATTGAACTAAGGGAGACTGTCCTTTAACCCTTAGCATTACAGGGGCTGTAACAGAGTGGAGCTGTTTGGATTCTATTCAGGGGTCAGAAGTGGATTATACCTACATAATAATAGCTAGCTTAGTTATAAAACCTCAAATTTTACTTAATCCTTGGGAATCCAAATGCCTCTGAGCTGTTTGAATTAATTTGAATCAGAACTGTATTTGAAAAATGCCATACTATGTAGAGTAAAAAAAACCTACACTTACAAAATATGCCAGGTTGCATGCAGTGCTCCAGATACATGGACCTTCACATCTCAGCTCATTCAGAGGTGGTGAACCAGATTAAGAACCTTTCTGTCACTGCTGAACAAACACACCTTTTTTGTGGGAAGCCATGTGTTTATTTGATTAGAAGGTGTGGGGTTTTCCCCCAGTTATAGCATTTGAGTAAACAGCATCCTTATTTGTGCTATGACAGCCTTGGAACACAAATTTGAACAGAACACCTGCTATCCTGTCTGAGGTTTGGTTGTTACAATGCCCTCTCAAATAATGCTCCCCACCCCACAATTGTTTTCCATCACATGGGCCTTATTCAGAATATGGCAGCATTTTAGTGTGACAATACTTTTTATTAATATTTAATATTTTATGGTGGTTCCTTGAAGACCAGGTCTGGATTGTAGCCATATTGGACTATGTGCTGTACAAACACAGAGGAAGACGCATTCCTTGCCCTAAAAAGACACAGATCTCCCAACCAAAGTGATATGGATGCTAATAGTCACAAGTCTTACTAATTACATTGTTGTTGTTGTTGTTGTTGTTGTTGTTTACTTTGTTGTTCTATTAAAGCCAAATACACTAAATCTCCTTGCCCTGCCTTCCCTCCCCTATTCAGCCCTTATCTTTCTTCCACACACCAGTTCCAATTTTCCTTACTGGACCATCCCAACATTCAACCCCTCCCTCCATAGATATTCATGAAACTGATAAATATGTGACTGGGCTCTTGTAGCAGTGTGGCAGGAGCGATTTAAATGAGTCTTGAGGACCAGAACAGAAAGGGCATCCCATGATGATGATAGAGGGCAGCGTGCAGGTCAGGCAGTCAGACTATCCAATTCATCAGTCAAATAGATCCCCAGTTTACCAGATGGGTATCACCCCAGATCTGTGGTATAGCCCTATTTGTAACTTTTAAACCAAATGTTTGTAGCCCTCTCCTAGTAGTTAGGGCACTTGCCTAGGCTTGGAAGATCTGCATTTGAATTGCTGCTCTCACAGATTTCCTGTGTGACTTTATCCCTATCTGTAAAATAGGGATAAATAGCATTTCCCTACTTCACAGAGGTGTTGTGATGATAAATACTAGAGTCTCTGAGGCGCTCAGATACCACGACAAGGGGAGTTGGAGAAGTACCATGAATAGGATTGCCACCCTTAGCAGACTGATGTGCTGGTTAAACTTGTTTGTGTTGACATGGATGGAACTGCCGCCCTGACCTGGGGACAACTTTGCATGTTTCCAGAGGGCCTGGCTTCCAGACTCCCACAGGCAGGTTTCCACACGGCGGTGGCAGCCTGAACGCAGGAGTGTCTCAGGGCCTGACTGAAACACGCCCTGCCCGTCAACTGCTCCCCACACAGGTGGCTCCTGTCCCAGAAGGGGATCGTCCCCCTTCGCCCCAAGGAGCTGCTGTGACAGAGGGAGGCGCCCCCTTCTCCTGGGGAGGGCGGGGCTGGGGGCAGCAGTGACGGAGGGAGGCGCCCCGCCTGGGGAGCGGGCAGCAGGTCTCTGCAGCTCCCCTCCCCTGAGCCGAGCACGTCCCTGCCCGTGACAAAGATGGCAGCCGAGCCTTCCCTCCCCGCCCCCCGCCAGGCGGCTGACCCGGAAAGGGAGGCGGCGCTGGCGCTCTGCGTGCGCAGGGAGGACGGCGGCGGCGGGCCGGGCCCAGCCCAGCCCAGCCGAGCGGGGCGGGCTCTGCGTCTATCCGCCGCACGCGGAGGACGGACCCCGGTGGGTGGGGCGGGACCTGGAGCCCACAGGAGGCGGGCGCTGCCGAGCCCCACTGCCGGAGCAGCGGCCTCAGGCGCAGCCGGGGAGCGGAGCCTGTGCCACGGGGACCCCAGCGCCGGGCGGCAGGGAGCGAGGAGGCCGAGAGAGGGGGGCGGCAGGAGCAGCCCCGCGCCATCTCCCTGGTGTGCACCAGCCGGTTCCTCTGCCCCGGTGACGGCTGCGCCCCGGGGCCTGCGCCGCCCCCTTGCCCGGTGTCTCCCACCCCCAGGGCCGCTGGCTTCCCGCGGAGACCCGCTGCTCCCGGCGGGGCGCTGTGGGAGGGGCGTCGGGCCCTTCGGCTCCCTCCTGGGTCAGGTGGCTTAAAAACGGTGCCATGCAAAGTGGGGAGTCGGCCTCGGCCGCAGCCATGAGGGTGTCCGAGAGCGAAGCGAAGCTGGAAATCCCGCTCCCGGCCCAGAACAGCGGCAGGAGCCCCGGCAGCCGAGGCGGCGGCGGCAGCACCAAGGGCTGGCAATACAGGTAGGTCCCGCTCTGATGGCCTGGGGACCATCCCCTAAGGAAAGGGGATCCCTTGTGTGAGCTATTTACGGGTTTCCTGCTTTCCCGGGTGCATCTCCCTTGGGGTAAAAGCCTGCCTCCAGACTCCGACTGCCCTGTGATGTAATACTGTGACCCCAGAGGGGACAAAACGTGGGGGAACCAGCCTTCCTTTGGGGGGAAGGATAGTCCCCAGGACCTCATAGGCCTTTCCTGTCTCAAAGGTCGGAGACACAGAGCTAAACAGGAGAGAAAGGGAGGCTGGAAAGAGGAGACAGAATAGGAAGTCAAAAGCAAAGATTCTCAAGTAAATCTGTGTAACATACTTATTCATTTATGTAGCATCTCATTTTAGGACAATATGTTTACTTTTACTCCATGTTGTTGTAACTTATTAGCATAATTAAAAGAATCAAGAAGCTGAAGTTATAGAGACTACTATGAGAGAGATGGAAATTAATCCCAAATCATTTCAGCTTCTTACATTTTTAATTATTTGAGTTGTTTCAGATCTTGCCCTGACATTTACACAGGCAAGGTAACTCTGGTTAGTGAACCTATCTAATCAGTTCCTTGTTTCTACTAAGTGAATTAATTTTCTTGGATGAGAAGTCACCTTTGTGAAATCGGTTGTCTTGCACAGAGAAAACACTTAGCTTATTTGTGCTGTTGTGAAATTCTATACATCTGTTTCATGGCCACAACATGTCATTTGTGACATTTGTTTGTTGCAATTGGAAACCAAGGATACTGCTTGCTTGTAAAGCTTCTTTTGATTTACTCTATAAAATGGTTGTCAACAGTACTGTAATATCTATGAAGAGTGAGATTAAAATCACACCTAGTCATTCCATTTGCATGGAATAACATGGCCATGGATTTAATTATATTGTGTCTGTATTTTATTTAGGCTTGTATTAATATTGATGCTTAGTTCAAAGCTAGTTAGAAATATTAACCTATATTAACTATATTAGCTATAGTATTCTAGATAATTTTTTTTTAATCGACTATTCCGTGTTTATAATGTTAACTCTTTTACATTTCTGTCAGCTTGGACAATGAAAATATGTTAGTTTCCAATCAGTTACGTTTTCAAGTTCTTGTGCATTAGCACAAAGCTGCAATTTGAGTTGTAAATGCTATAAGGGCGTGTTTGTTGGTTTAAAAAAAAAAATCAGAACATGGCAACATTTTTATTTGTCTTAACTTTTGAAAAAGGTTGTTTTCTCCTCACCTCCTCCCAAAACTTAAACTGTAGGTCAAATTTGACCAGGCAATGTCTTTCAGAGTTTTACTAAAACCTTTATAATTTATATTGAAACAGCATACTTTTCACTGACTGATGATAGGTGGAAACTACTCCTCCTTCCCCCTACAAAATGCAGAGACTTTTCTCTCTCAAATGTTGAGACCTTTGATGTCATTAATATTCAGTTGAACAGTAAGTTACCAATGTGCCTGACAAATTAAACTGTAAAAGGTAAATTCAGTGGTTGTGGAGGCGGAATTTTTGTGTTTTGTTTTTATTCTATAGATAATATCAAGTTGAAATCTGGTCAATTAAAAACAAAACAACTACATAAAAATAATTTGGGTGCTACGTTTGCTGTGGAATCCCCCTGCTTTTTTTGTTTTTATTTCGCATTCATATTCCTCTTTCTGCCATTTAATATCCTCCCTTCTCCCCTCCCTTTTCCCCCCCCCCCCATGTAGATTATGATAGGGACCATCTTTGTTACACATGTGTACAGTAAGTCCTTGATCCTTGACTGGTGTTCCTACACACTATTGTAATAAAAATTCTAAATAACAATAATGCTGTTTGTAAGACTTTCACAAACTGAGAAAGTGACCGTTTAAATGGACATTACATTTAAAGTATTAAAAGTATTATATTTAAATATTAGTCAAAATAGGTTAGATCTTGTATCCACCTTTTTTATACAGAACAGTATTTGATGTAATGGGTTATATATTGTAAACTAACTGTACTGACCTTGACATGGGGATTGCTTCTATTGTTGAGCAGATGTGCAGGCATTAAGGACGTGGAATAACTTGTGGCTGAAAGGTAAAGAAATATAAATTCTGCATTTTAAAATGCACACTGTGCAGTCTTTAGAGGAATATTGCAGGAAATGAATTCTAAAGGCAATGGATGCAGAAAACAAAAGCCTTGCTTCCCAGATGACTTGGAATAACATTTTGAGGAGATGAAAAAGTTCAACATTCTTGCATTTCAAGCTATGAGTAGGAAGAAAACTGTGTAAGGCAGTGAAAGACCATGAAATACATTAAAAACCAACTTTAATCAGATCTAAAATTAACAGCTAAGGCACATATTTTGAAATTGAGGTGATTTGCCCCTTGGGTTTGTCTTTGATAAGAATCCTTCCTAGTGAAGTTTGGATGAGTTGGAGTTAATCTGAAAGATGAGAGAGATTCTTGGTGGGTGGGGGTGGGGTGGTATCTATCTAATATATGTAGGCTTTTATAACATGCCCATCACCAGAATATCTGAGCCCCTAAAATGCCAATTTTTGAGCCTACTGATCTGCCTTTTAAAGCTGTACATTAAACTAGGGAAAGCAAGTAAACTCGGTTATTACAGCACATATGGTATTTGGGAGCACTGGTTGGTTATTCTCTAACCCAGGGGTCGGCAGTTCGGCACGCAAGCTGATTTTCAGTGGCACTCACACTGCCCGGGTCCTGGCCACCGGTCCGGGGGGTCTGCATTTTAATTTAATTTTAAATGAAGCTTCTTAAACATTTTAAAAACCATATTTACTTTACATACAACAATAATTTAGTTATATATTATAGACTTCTAGAAAGAGACCTTCTAAAAACGTTAAAATGTATGACTGGCACGCGAAACCTTAAATTAGAGTGAATAAATGAAGACTCGGCACACCACTTCTGAAAGGTTGCCGACCCCTGCTCTAACCTCTGCAGTAGGTTGACCCTTAATTCCCAACTCTGATTTTCTTTGTTTTTGTTATATACTTATGTCAACATTATAACTAAGTTTTAGCTGTGAAGTGCATCAGAATTGCATAGTTAGTAGTAACTGATTTGATTAAGATTGGATTTTTGAGAATAAGCCAGAGCTTCCATTAAAGTCAAGGTCCCTAGTATTGTGATGAGTAAGGAAGTTTAGATGCATCAGTTTTAGTGGCCAATTTTCTTACGCCCCTTCTTTGTAACTTCCACTCTATCTCTTGTCCCTGCCTGTTCTCTCTCGTCATCATCTCTGCTCTGTTCTAATTAAAAGTAAAACTTATTAGACTCCTTATCTGTGGAATTTTTTTTGGTGGTGATTTCAAATTCTTATTCTAAACTTCTTTTGCTTTGCTGCAACCAGCCCACAGAGCCTTTCAGAGAGAGAGGCAAAATGACAGATTATTATTACCTGATAAGTCTGTCTTAGAGCTGGCATACTTGCTTCTCCTCTGTCCCCTTCTTACTTTT